TTTAACAAATAACCAGTTAACTGTAATTTTAATCATTGTATATCCTTAAACCAAGCATGACTTCTTTAGATAAAATTTGAAACTTTTTTGCATTTTTTAAATTTTATAAAGACTGAGTTGTATCTTATTCTGATACGTTTCTGTATCTCTCATACCATATAAATTGGAAGGCTGGATACAACTTTTCCTTAAGCAGAGCATCATAAGCCATGACGTCTGCATATTGTTTATCAGTTAACATGTAGTCAGAATTACGTTTTGCTCTAAAAAATGGTAATATATCTTTAACTGTATCCAAAGTACTTAGACCAGCCTTAAGCAAAGGTAATCGACCATTTGGTGTTCCAAATAGATTGCTTGCTGGATTTACTTTTAAAGGTTCCCCGATAAATTTAGCATATGCCTATAAATAACATGAGACTATATTAGGAAACAAATGCTAATCAAAATGATGATAATCTAAATCAATTGATCATTAAGACATGTTGATATATTATCATTATAATTTGAATAGCTAAACAATAGTTAAACTAACATCCAACATTTAAACAATAATAAAGCATTTAGATGGATAAATTTATGGTGCTTCTTCTTGCTTTCATTTTTACCAATTATTGAGTCAACAGTTTAAGTATTCCAATATCTATATTCATAGATATGTTTGTCAATATATCTTAGAAATAACAGATGTTACTTTAATCATAGCTTCTTTAGTTAATTTAAGGATGAAAGTATCAAAAGATCATTATTTATTGTATCTTATTAATTTTTAATACTATATATTATTATTAGAAAAATTTACATTAAAATTTCATTAAAACTCATTTAACATTATCCGAAAAATATCATTTTGCCATTTATTTTCTTTCTTGACGTTTCGTCTGTCAGAAATTCTGAATTTTTAACTGTTAATCATTTGAAAGAATCACTATACGATTTGATTTGATATTTTCAGTGAGCAAAATCAATTCTAAATTGGTCATTACTTTATAATAAAGATATTAAATAACTTGAGACATTCTACATTCGCATCGCTTATGGCATATGAACAATTTTATATCATATAAAAATTATTGTTACAAATTAGTAATTAGAATCAATTGATATGTTCGTTTCATAACCTATACATACCAGAACTTGCAAACAATCTATGTCGATTGATGGGAGACCCCAATCGCCTTTCCATATATCCAATTGTAATACCTCGACATTAGTCATTTTCAAAAACTTGCATCGCCAGTCAAATTTCAGTCCACTCCACAAATTTCTTTCACACAAAACTACATATATATTTCTTCAGTGTAAACAATCATAAACAATGTAGCATCGTGTATGTACAGCACTGAGCTCTATACCATAGATGTCTATACTAGTACTAGATCGCTAACTTTAGACTTTGACGTAT